CTTGGATTTATTAAGTCACTCACCTACGAAAATTTGGTAAATTATCTGTTTGATAGATTGTACATCTGTTTAGAAATATCTGTTTGGGCTATCGGTGGAGGATAGCTATGATTGTTGTAGGAACTACATGTGGATTAGGTGAATTAAAACTAATCAATTGAATTATGTCATTGAATATGACGGTTTGATTAAACCATTGAATATGTGATTTGATTAGTCATTGTATGTGACAACGTTTTTAAATACATTGCATATGTATCATTGTTTGAGAGGAGATGTGTGATGGACTCCATTGAAAATTAAGTTAGCCGGAGTGTCCAGGGTGAAAGTCCCAAAATCTTATATATATATGGGTGCCGATTCCCTCGGATGTGATTCCCTAAAATGGCAAGACAAAAAAGTGTTGGATTGATGAATGTATTGAATTGTGAACCACTGAGTGTTTCTCATTTTAGTTGATTGGATAATAATGAATTTGGTTAATAGATTTACCTGAAATGGATGAATGGAAATGAATTGAGGTATTGGTTATCTATATTGAATGATCTTGGAAAGAATATGTGTTGGTTAAGAATATTGCATATTTATTTGATGCTTATATCTTAGTTAAATCTCATATATTGTTTTAGTATATCTCTACTAGGCTTTGGCTCACCCTACTTGGGAAATCATTTTCAGGTACAAGTGACATGCCGCCTCCAAGAACATAGCTTGGGAGGTTTAGGGGCTAAAGACTTCGTTTTGTTATTTCGTTTTGTGTTAAATGTCCATTTCAAGCCGAGGGCTTTAAATGTATAGAGCTAGGACTCTCTCTTTTGATGTAACCAAGAGATGTCTTGGAAAAATGTGAGCCCGTAGGCGTTTATTTTGTTGTGATTAATTAGTGTTATATGCTATAGTTTCAGAATGAATATTTATGAAAGTATGATGCATGTAATCTCTTTTGTAATATAAACTCTGATGAATGAAAGTAATACATTTCCTATTATGATTATGAACCTCTTGACTTGGTTTATCCTCTTTATTTTGAGGGCATTACAACTTTTAATAATTTTCTACCACTGTCATAATTTAAAATTGATAGCAATTTTCTTGGGATTCAAGATTCATAACAAATTAGTACAACATATGTAGGCAACAATAGGAGGGTACAAGGAAGTTTCTTTGGGGCTCGATGGACAGGACTGTAAATAGGCAACCTAGCTTATTGTGAAAATCAAACATATCAAATTTTAAATAGCTCCTCTTATGTATTCCTAATCCAATCATTTGATCATTGTGCGAAATAAGCACAAAAATATTATTCTGTTTTGTAAAATTAGTTTTGAAAATGGAGGCGGTAGTAGCACAATCTCCAAGTCAAATCTAGGCCCCAACTAATGGAAACTTGATAACTATTCTTAGCATTGATGGAGGTGGCATTCGAGGAATCATTCATACCACTATCCTCACTTACCTTGAATCCCAGCTTCAAGTATTAACTCTTTTTAATTTTTAATTTTTTTTAAAGGTTGTGTACATATGGTGTGAACTATGAGAGTTGCAATGTTACATAATATATATTAGCAGTGGGCGCACACACAATGTGTGTGAAAATATATATAATTGAAATGTATGTTCATTCGTGGTATGATCCATATATCCCCACTAACGTTCAAATATATTGCACAAATTTAAATTTTAGACAAATTTTAAAATATTTTTCTTTACGTACATAGCATGGTTGTTAAGAGAGAAAATAATGATTGAATGAAAAAATTTAGAGAATTTACATGTCAGTGTATATTTAGAAAAATACTTAAAAATTGATGATAAAATTTATAATTATTAAAGTATGAAGTGATAAACTTTATCACCGATCATTAATTAATTTTTACAGAATTCACTAAGCAATAGTTTTCCAAAAAAACATTTTCTAGCATGCGAATTTAATCAGTTCAGTACTAAATCAGTGAATTCGCATCATTATATTTATCAGCAATCCAAAGTGACTTAATATACTAATATTTTTTTGTTTATTGATTTCATGATTTTACTAGGTATATTTTGTACAAGTTAATTTTGTATTCAAGTGTTTTAGTATCTAAATCCCCAATAGTATGTACCTATAATAATTATTGTGTTAATGTACATAAAAGAGGAAAAGGCACTACAAGAAATACGGGTTTTGGCGGTGCTTTTTTAACAACACTTTTTAAAACGTCACTTTTCTTAATATTTAGCGACGTTTTAAAAACGTCGCATATTTCTTTAATTAAAACGGCGCCGTTTTGTAATAGAAGGCGTTGAGAAGCGCCTCCAAATGCGTTAGACCCCACGTGTCTCTTTTGAATCTGTGAATAATTGTTAAAGCCTAATATATGTAAACCCTTATTTTGAATCGTCACGACTTCAAATCTCGCCTCTCTCGCAATCCTCTCTAACCCCTTATCATTCTCACGATGTTGCTCCAGAGCGGTGTCTCTCTCTATCTAGATATCTCTCTCTTTGTCAACCCTCTCAAAGATTCATCTTTGAGATTCAGAGATTCAGATCGGTCTCAGTGATTTCATCTCAGAGCGATTTCAATTTGAAGCTCCAGAGCGGTGTCTCTCTCTCTCTGTCAACCCTCTCAGAGATTCATTTTTGAGTTTTAGAGATTCAGATCGGTCTCAGTGATTTCATCTCAGAGCGATTTCGATTTCGAAGCTCTAGGCTCCAGAGCGGTGTCTCTTTCTCTGTGTCAACCCTCTCAGAGATTCATCTTTGAGATTCAGAGATTCAGATTGGTCTCAGTGATTTCATCTCAGAGCGATTTCGATTTCGAAGCTCCAGAGCGGTGTCTCTCTCTTTCTCTCTCTGTCAACCCTCTCAGAGTTTCATCTTTGAGATTCAGAGATTCAGATCGGTCTCAGTGATTTGATCTCAGAGTGATTTTGATTTCGAAGCTCCAGGATCTCTCTCTCTCTGTCAACCCTCTCAGAGATTCATCTTTGAGATTCAAAGATTCAGATCAGTCTCAGTGATTTTATCTTAGAGCGATTTCGATTTCGAAGTTCTCTCTCTTGATTTCGAAGCTCCAGCAAGGTATCGATTTCTCTCTCTCTCTCTCTCTCTCTCTCTCTCTCTCAAGCTCTTTCTTCCTGTCTCTTTCGATTTGGTATTTATTTGCTTGGAAAACCTATTCAATTTCTTCTTTTGTTTGCTTTGTCATTCTTCCTTAATATGTTGTGTTTTTGTTTTGAGAAAATGCCAAATGTGCTTGTGATTATGACATTTGTTGGATTTGAGATCCATTACACTCGTGTATGGTCAAAATCTGGCCGGTAGCTTAGCCAAACTGTGGGAATTTGTTGCGGGAAGATTAGATTTCTGATAACTAGTTGAATTTCAGTTGTGCAGTTAGCATTATTAAACTGAATTTATCTTCTTACTGAGTCAATGGCCTATTCTGAATAATCTTTTTTGACTCATTTTGTAGTTTGTTATCATTTTCATTTTTCATTTTGCATTAATTTGCCTACTTTAATGTCTGGACTTTTACTAGTAAATGCAAAAAATCATCTACCACTCTTTCAAATACTGTTGACATCTCAACTCTACAAATAGAAATAGAACAAACACAGGTACTGCATACTACATACTCATCAAGTGTGCAACTCATCCCATTGCCTAGTTTAATTGAAGCACTTGAGGAATTGGATTTAAACAATGCAACTGGAGGCCTTTAAACAATGAATGTTTTATATTAGAATAACTCATAAAATAATCATTATTCAAAACGAAGGGAGGAGTGAGCTAGGGTTGAAATGTCCTCATATTAGAATGATTGATGGGAATTTATTTTGGTTTTGTAGCGTTTTCCCCTCTAGTTAAGCCAAAAAAAAAGTTTGTTTTTCATGAATTACTCTATTTCTATTTTTTCTTTTTTATTTATTTTATTTAAGTTAAATTGAGTATTGGGTTTGGATGACAATAGAGTGGAAACACAAATTCCAAAGATTGACGTGAGGTTCCAGAATTTATCAGTGGCAGGAGATGCCTATGTTGGGTCCAGAGCTTTTCCAACTCTCCTCAATTCCACCATGAATGCTATTGAGGTACTACTACTTTCCTCTTCTATTTCTCACACTCATTTTTGTTTGTTTGTTTCCCCTCCATGTGAATTCAGTCAGATTCACACTTTGTTCAACTTCAAGATGCAATTCAAATTACGCTTTGATGTCTTGTGAATTTTGAAATGGTTGTTTGGGTAATAAAAAAAAAAAAAGCAGAGAGTTTTGTTCTTAGTTTACAATTTCACAGAAATTATCACTAAAAGCACATGTAAAATTCAAATATCTATTGTGTGGATTGAAAACTATGTAGAAAATTTGCTTATTTTCTCTTAAAAAACTTTTTGTGAGTAGTGTATCATCTTAAATTTAATAATGTGATATCTGAAGATTGTTCTCTTTATGTTGAATTGTAATGTGAGTAGGAAATCATTGGAATGGTTGGGCTTTCTCGATCTAAGAAAAGGGTTATCAAGATACTTCACGATGTCAATGAAAAGATTTTTCACCAAACAAGTTTCTATGCTGTCAAGAAAATGAAAATAGAAAACAAAAAACTAAAACACAACCAACTAGACATTTTCTCAAATATCCTTCAATCATTAAACGGTTATTTTTTTGTTTGTCAGGATGACACTGCTTCTTGGGCCACCTGGCTCTGAAAAGAAGGCACTGCCAAAGGCACTCGCAAGGAAATCTGATGACAATCTAAAGGTTTGTCATGCTCTCTAAAATCTCCCATTTTTTCTCTCCCCAATTTTCTGTTTCGTTCAATGTATTTCTTTTCCTACATGGTATTTTTTCAACATATTGGTAATTTGATTATATTGGGATTGTGGACAGATATCTGGAAAAGTCACCTACTGTGGTAGAGAGTTTAAGGAATTTGTTCCTCAAAGACCGAGTGCTTATATCAGTTATGCTCTTTGTATTTATTTTACTGTTCTCTTGAGTTTTGCTTACCCTACTTTATGGGGAAGCCAATAAGAGTGAATAAGGTGTGAATGTTTATCCTTGTCATGCATCATTTTCTGTTTCTTTATGCTTATGCTTAGGATATTGCCACAGGAGCCATCATTAATGATTTCATGGTTTGACTTTCAGAGCCTTTGTTTGAATTAGATTTAAAATCTGATCAATAGTTTTATCTTCTTGTTTTTGGGTTCCAGGTGTCTCAAGATAAAAAGAGCTTGGATGTTGGAGCTAACCTTTTTGTGGGAAACCTCGATCCTGTAAGAAATTTGATGCACTCGAATGTATTTTCATGCCTTGTAAACTGCTATATGCCTATGACACAGTTTTTCAATTTCGAACCTGGCTCTAATTTTCTTTGCAGGATGTGGATGAGAAACTTTTGTATGATACTTTCAGTGCATTTGGAGTCATTGTTACAAATCCCAAGGTCAAACTTCTTTTCTCTTGCTCCTGTATAGTTGTGTTGTTTGTTTCTTATTGATATATATATAATAGAACTGAGGACATGCACTGCTCTTCCATCCTTAAAATCTTATCACTATGTTTTCATTCGTGCATATTATTATTTTTAGTCCTTTGGTTATGAAACTCAGTTTGCATTATAGAGATTGTTCTTTGTTTTGCCCGTGGATGCTTTCTTGTCATAGGTTCTTTGACTAGGGCATGAACAAATTGACAATGTTTTAATTTTTTTGGTATGGACTGACGCAGTGGTTTGAGATAATATGTGGATTAAGAGGATTAGTCTTTACCATTTTCTGTTGGATTGGGGGAATAGGTAACGTAGGTATATTGGACAGTTGAGAACTTGAATGTTAAGAGAAACAAGAAGAAGACAATAGGAGGAAAATTCTTGTCAGTTGCATCCAAATTCGTAGGGGCGCGCGCGCGAACACACACACACACATCATGGTTCTGTCCGTCTGACCCTTCCATATTGAATGGAGACCCTTACCTCATGGTTAAGTTACAATTCTTTTTTGTTGGCAATCAAAAAAAAGAAAAGAAAAGAAAAAAAGAATAGGCCTTATTGATTCTACATGTTCAATTTGAAAGGTTGAGGATCTTGTTTAATGTGTGTTTTGCAGATAACATTATAACCTGTAGCTTTTCTAGTTCCATTTGAAAGTTGAAGTCTCATATACACTGAAGAAGGGAGCAGTGTTTTGAAATGATTTTAAACACTGCAGAATTATTGGCATCTTTTTATTTAGTTGATTTTTAGTTGTCATGGAAGTAGTGTTTTCATTTATGCTATTTTCCTATTCTATGAATCCAATTGTTAGAAAGATATGCTGGCCACTTAGACAGATTTTTATAGTAAATGGAGCTTTGTGATTTGAAGTTGCCAGATGTAGAGAGGGAGTGTATTACTTTACATCAAACCCCTTTCAAAGTGCATGGGAAGGATGTCATTAGTGGTGTTGGGGAGTTGATTCCAACTAATAGTTAAGCATGAATATTGAGGATGAAAGAGTTATTCATATCTGAATGTCTCCTCATGTCATTAGATATTTATGGGTTTCACTTGTATTGGCAATGCTCTTTTTCTCTAAAAATGTGCATAGGATAGATTAGGGACTTTTCAATTCTAAAGGAGAAGTGACTCCAAAATATTTTGGCTCATCTTTGGTGTTTGTGAATTGGGTTTTGCTATATCTTTTCTAGTTCAAACTTTGAAATTCTGATTGCTGGTTTGGGTGTGTAATTGAATATATTGATTGGATGAAACCAATTATTTACATCACTTTTATTAATTTTCTTTGCAAGTTCTAATTCATATTTCCCAGTAATTGAATCACTTTGGTTGGATGAAACCATTTATTAATTACATTTTTTGGTCCAAGTAGAATGCAGGTTGTTTTTTACTTTGTTCTACTGCTGGGGCATTTGCTGCTATTTTGGGAACAGTCAGAGCTGATTTTTTTGTTGAATTAATGGGTTCTTTCCAGGGATTTTTGTATTTTTCTACTGCCATATTCTGGAACTTATATTCTACTGGAGAGAGAGAGAGTCAATTTGAGTTTTAAGACAATTCTAATTGCCTTCTATATTAGATTGTTGTTGGATGATTGAGACCCCTGTTGCTTTTTCTTTTGGAGTGGTAAAATGGCATGCTTTTTGGCCTTTCTGGCTGCTGTTTGTTTAATAAGAAATCAGTAAACATGTTGGGAAAACAACTATTTGTTCATGCACTTCTTCCCAATTTTCTTTATTATTTTTTCAGCACGCAATTGAGAATTTGTATCTATGGAGATCATATGATATGCTTGTTTTAATTCCTCTGGTTTTGGGCATTTCTTGTGGATATGTATATTGGGTGAATGGCAATGTTAAGTTGGGAGTCTTGCACCACTCACTTTTATGTACATTAATTTTCAGTTTTATTACAGGAATTTTTTAGTTCAATTATAAAAAACTAGCACAATTAAAAAAAAAAAAAACAAGGCTATCGCGCATTTCTAAAAACGTCGCTAAATATCAAACCAACGGTTGGATTTCTTTTAAAAAGAGATACGACGACGTTTTAAAACGTCGCTAAATAGCATAGTGACGTCATGTTAACCTTAGTAGAACTTTTAGTGGCGTTTCGCCTATAGTCATATAGTGACGTTTCAAAAGCGCCATAAAGTTATAGCGACGGCCGCGTCTTCGGCGTTTGGTGCTAAACATCACCAAAAGTTTTGACAGCGTTTTTAAGATTTATTGCAGCGTTTTTTAAACGCCTCTAAATCCTTGATTTCCAGCAGTGAGGATGGTGAAATTTATTGTGATAAATACTATTTTTCTTTTTTAAGATGGTAGTGGTGGTTATAATCTTTCATGTGCTAATAACACCAAAATGGTTTGGTCGTGATGCAGAAAGCTGGATGGTAAGGATGTAAGAATTGTGGACTATTTTGATGTGATTGTAGGAACAAGCACTGGCAGTCTTGTGACTGTTATGTTAACTGCTCCAAACGAAAATAATCGCCCGGTGTTTGCAGCTAAAGATATTAAAGACTTTTACCTTGACAATTATCCCAAAATATTCCCACAAGAGAGGTAATAATTACAAACAATTAAGAATTTTTGTATAAAATTTTCATACAAAATATTATATATAGTGTTTTTTATCCTATTATTTCAAACTCAAACACATACCAATATTAGTTATAAAAATTATTTTTGTGGATTCTTTTCTTTTTCCATTCAATGATGATGATACTATGTAGTGGGAGTATTAACATGTTAAAACTTTAAAACAAATAGCTCTTTATTTCCTCAAGCTACAAAGGTAATCAAAGCCTTATAAGGACCAAAATATGATGGGAAGTATCTCCGTGAAGTAGTTAAGGAAAAGCTTGGGGAGACAAAACTACATCAGACATTGACTAATATTGCAATTCCAACGTTCGACATTAAGACCCTGTAGCCAACCATTTTTTCCACCTATGAGGTATATCATCAATTGTTTATAGCTATGAGAATTTTGATACTGAAATTCAAAGTGATTGTTTGGATTGAACATAGTGCTGATTATTGGCTAAGGATTCTCTATCATTAATTATTGGATAAATTACACTGTTAGTTTCTATACTTTGATCCTTATGTCATTTTAATCATTCTAATTTCAATTTTGACCCTAAGCTTTTAATTTTATCTCAAATTGGTCCAATTGCAAGTATTTTTTTATTGCAAATGCACACATGAGCTACACGTCATATTTTTAGAAACAAAATTATAAACTTGATTAATTTAGTGATTTAATTTCAACCAATTCAATGAAAAATTTTTGTCAAACTTTAATGAAATTATTAATTGGACCAAATTGAAGCAAAATTTAAAATTACGAGTCAAAATTGAGCCAATTAAAATTGTAGGAACTAAAATGACATAAGCGACAAACTATAGGAATTACCGGTGTAATTTATCCTTAATTTTTTCTATTCTTTATCTCAAAACACTACAATCATTGAATTATGTGAGAATATGAATGTATATGTAAGAATTTTATAGCGATTCTGGTCTTAACCCGACCCATCTTGCATTCTGGACTCGGATTTTATGATTTCTAAATGTTGTTCATGTCTTTTCCCCCTTATTTTTGCTTGAGTTTGGCTATTGGGTTATAGTGGTTGTGTTTGGAATGGGTTGGTTGCTTGGTTTTCAAACCTTATGTTGCCCAGATTTTTACTCTTCCGCTCGAGCGACACTTCTTGAGCTCGAGCGGGCTTTGCAAATTCTCAATACTTTTGCAGGTCTGCAAATCTACTGGGATAGTATATTCTATGCTCGAGCGATTCTTTCTGCACTCGAAGTAGGCTCAGCTTGAGCGGTCATTTCCTGCACTCGAGCGTTAGTTTGTCCTCTATAAAACTACCGTGAGTGTATATTTTGTGCTCGAGCGGTGTTACCCTTTCTTCATTGTGTCTTGGCGCTCGAGTGGACTGTGTGTATGTCAATTCGTAGTAGTACCTTTTTACATCACTTTTTCATATCTTTTGTCCTGAAACCCTAGATCTAGAGCCTCTCTCTCTAAAACTCACATTCTCTCTACATTTTCACCTAGATCTAATGATCTCTCTACCTGTGTGCCTTTGATAAAAAGGTAGAGCATCTCAAGGGTTACATTTTGATCCAAATAGAACTTGGTTTCGGCATTTTTGAAGTCTCTCCATCTCTTCGTTGGTCTTTTAAACTTGAGGTAGGGATTTTCTAGACTCTTCTATAAGTTTTAACCTAAATATTTGTTGTTGTATAAGAAACATTGGGATTTGAAGTGATTTTGAACAAACCTAGGATTTTGGGTTTAAATTCAAAAGAGAGGTTCTCGAATGAAGTTCTTGGAAATGGTTATGGGAATGAATATAAGCTTGTGTTTTGTTAAAATGAGTGATATTGGAGTTTGAGACGAGACTGGAAAAAAGGAAAATTTTGCCCTAAAATACCTTGAATAATTATTGTGTAAGCAATGGAATATTTGCAAGAAAAATGACATTGGGTAGATGTTTATATAAATGGTGTAGTTGGTCACGTGTGATCTCTCACCTATAGAAATTTGAATAATTTATATGTTGTGAAGATTGTATATCTGTTTAGAAATATTTGTTTTGGGCTATCGGTGGAGGATAGCTATGATTGTTGTAGAAACTACATGAGGATTAAGTGAATTAAAACTAATCCCTTGTTGGTTGTCATTGAATATGATTGTATTTTAATACATTGTATATGTATGATATTTGGGAGAAGAAAGTGGATATACTCCATGTTTGGGAGGAGAAAGGTGATAAACTCCATTAAATTAAGTTGGCCCGTGTGTCCAGGGTGATAGTTTTGAAAACCGCGCGTATAAATGGATGAAGATTCTCACTGATGAAATTTTCGTAAAATGGCAAAGTGAAGTGTTTGTGTGACAGTTGTATATGTTATAGAACCATTGAGTTG